TCAACGGCGAACTCAAATTCATTCAAAATCGCTCAAAAAAACGCTTTTGAGGTAAAAGGACGACTATATACCACCGGTAAGGTAATTCAACGTTTATTTACCATTGTTTTATATAAATAGTTAGCGATATATCGCTATAGGTGAAGCAAACGGTAAATCCAGTACATTTACTATAAAATAACAATCGGCTACACAAACAGATTGTGTGGGCTCATTGTGGTCAAGGTAATGTTTGAGTGGAATGTTTCGCAGAAAATCAAAAATGGAACAAGTGGTTTTTTATTGGGATAAAGGGTGACAAATTAGAAGTGGAGGTTGAAGTTCTAGGTAAGGTGCTGTTGAAGAAGGAGACATGGTCCAAGAGGAATCGTGCTGTGCAGGTAGTTGAAAGCCGCACTGAATATCCTTTATCCTTTTTTTTTTATATTCACCACAATTGCCATTCCGGCGAGCAAAGAGACTGCTTGCTTTCCTTCTTTATCGAATACTGCACTGCGTTCGTTAAAAAGCCACCGATCCTGCATCGCTGTAATGAAGACATGCTTTTTAAAGACGTTACCGTACTTTGTTTTGAAAGAGGAAATCTTCACTTTCAAATTTTCCCAGTTTGAGCTCCGATTAGTCAATGAGAACAATGCGGACAAGTCAGCCTTTGCAAGGGTCGGGTCCAAGGGTATTGATGTCAACGAGAGCAAGAGACTGTTTCCCACCCCGAGTGTGAGTAATTTGAGTCTTAGGCCGGGTCGCTAAGCTAGGTAAGACGGAGTTCAGACCGAGGTTCTGTCTATGGCTTCAGTCGGGAGGTTTGCAGAGATTCAGTTTTTGTCGATTGTGCTCGAAAAACGAGCATAATATGCTCCTGGAAGTGCTCAAGTTTTTGGAAATCATGCCAGAATAATGCTGTTTTCTCTGAATTATGCTCCTCGCGTTCAAATTATGCCGCTTGGTTTTGAGCGAAATAAAGGCTGAACGCCATCTTTGATTTTTGATCTTAGATCCCAGGCAGCTCGCTACTGAGTCGTACGAATGGGGCCTGAAACCAAGAAACATGAGAAAGACCAAACAAACAAACAAACAAACATCGTTTATTTCACTCTTTGCAGTAAAGACTGAATTGTTAAGTGATAAAATTAACAATAATGATACTATAATATATAAAAAAATGTAATGAACACTAATCTAAAAATTTAAAAGTGATAAAATCGTTCGCTCTTTTAGTTGTAATGTAAGGGCGTAGACCTTTCTTGGCCAGTTCTAATATTATATGGTACACTTACGATCAACTTCATGACGACTGCGCAGCGTCTATGTAGAGATAAACTTGCGACTTCTAACGAGTCGTCTTACCTCATGAAGAAACTTTCTAGAAACACGATTCAGTAAGTAGAAGTATATTCAGTACAAAATTACGACAATTTTTCACAACGTGGAAGGAAAACAACAGATTGTGCTAACAGTGCTTTTCTTTAAAAAAATATGTTTTGCTTTGTTTTTATTAAAAGTAAGCATTGTCATTTAAAATTAGGAAATGTAAACACTAGTGTCGCCTTTTTTGGTGCCGCAGTACAGCTAAGAGAACACATCTGCTTCCGTAACAAATTTCGAGCGAGGCCTAAGGCGTGTTTTAAAGTCAGGTTTGTGGAAGAGAGCATCGATGAAAAGGTGGAGCTTAAGCAGCAATGGTAGAGGCTCAACACAAGTTAAAGATCCCTGTTAAAGGTCTCAGCAAGAGCCCTTACCGACTTCGAGCACGGCGATTTATATCGATCTCAACAATTTTCCACGTAAGCTTCGTATAGGTAAAGAGGATCGCCCTAAAGAAAATTTATCAATTACAGTCAAACCAGGTCAAGCGTACCCCCCAAGAATCCATTAATGAATTTCTTATTCGAAAGTTGAATCCGTTGCTAGTTGTAGATTTCAGATTGATCTCTGCATTCTTGTATGTGTAATGAGCCATGAATTCACACGCGAGGCAGTTATGAAATTTCTACCAGCTCCATTTTCCTGAAATTGATGTAAATGTCTTCTAAGAAGCTTAATCCATTCAAAGATTTCCAATGTGACCAAATACAGAGAAGTTCTCGTAAAATATTCACTGCTCATTACGCATGCAGAAATGCCGCTTTGAATTTGACACCAGTTACGAGAACGACTAAGGGATTCATTTTTCAAATAATCAATTCACTGATAGAATCTTGGGGGGTACGCTTGACTTGGTTTGACTGTAACTTTATCTATTTTTTCCCATTTTGGTTTTTTCCCCTATAATTTCTTTTTTATTGGCGCCATGCTGAGTTCAGAAAAGTATATACTGCTGCCTGCAGGTCAAATAATAGAGAATCACCTTAAGGTGGCTCAATGGTGTTTATCAGGGTCAATACCTCCCAAGTTTGAGTATAAGCTTCGTCGCCATTAACAAAGATTTGGAAAAATTACCACCAAAGTAGGCTATTATTATATTCATTTTTTTATCGTATTTCTAACCATAAAAACTTCATCCAAAAATATGTCGATAACACTCTTATAGATTTTGTTTAAACTTCACGAACATCGATGCGGCTATTTGAGGAAAAAGTTCCCGTGAACGATTTTGAAAGAGCAGTTCCCTGTGCCGAGAAATACGGCTGCAAGTAAAATAGGTAGTGGCGTCATTTCTTTGCTATGACAACTCCCATGTCATAGTAACCCTGATCAAGACAAATTTTCATCTTAATCTAATAAGCCATTTGCGAGTTTCCCCGGGTGTCTTTATCAAAACGAGGTTAAGTGCTCAGCCTTTGGCATGGAAATGATTTTTCATTCTCATGCAAATAAAACTCATTTTTACAAGAAAGGCTGTGCACTTGGCCTCATTTTGAAACTGAGTGTTTTTGGAATTCGGAAGTGGCCTATACAGCTGTGGTCGTAATTTTTCCAAAACTTTGTTAAGGTGGCTGAACACAGTTTTGCGGGCGGTCAGCGGTGGCGCGTGTTTTAAATTAGACAAACAAACATGGCGGCGAAAAAAGCAATGGTACACAGAAGATGACTTCTCAAAATCTACCGATTAAAATTTTGTCATATTTGGCAGATTTTCACTTTTAATTTATCATATTTTAAATAACGTGAACGTTAAAATGAAAGTTGAACAGACAGATTTAGTGACACATTCAATCATTACAGTACAATTACATTATATATTATTTATTATCTAAAAACCCGTCTGGTAAATTAAGTTTCAAATGGTAATTATTAATTATAGTAAGCTGTGTGCAAGTTTATAGGAAAATGTTATGTAAACTGAGCAAAAGTGAATTTTTAAGGTTGTATTCAATTATTCATGTTGCCATGGAAACTACGAAAACATCAAAGTTTACCCGTCAATCAAAATCTTTTATCAGTGTATTTTTTAGTTGCCAAGTTTCAGCTTGTCAGCTGGAACCTTTCTCTTGCCATGATTTGGCAAATGACATATCCTCACAAACTTCCAAAACAGTGTTCAGTCACCATAATGCCGACGTAGTTTATGCTCAAAGCTGGAGGTATAAATTGACCCAGAAAAACCCTATCAAGTCACCTTAATCACAATATTTGTTAGTTAGTTTATTTATTCCAGCTCAGACCCATTGTCTTTGATGACTGATTGATACCGTCAAGCTATTTGCATATATCGCCTTCATTTCTTAAAATTAAAGATCGCGATCATTTTGAAGACAGCAAGGTTCCGAGCAACGTGACATCCCGTAAAATTCCGTTCATCTTAAAGAGCGATAAATGGGATATTTGCGATTACGCGGACTCGTTACGTTTTTTTAGAGGCTATGTTTTGTGTGCCGTGTCTTTATTAACTCTGGTTGCAATAGGCATACACAGACTTCTCGCCTTGTTACTGGGGCTGAGATACAGACAAGTTATTACTTCGAGGAGAACCCGTATGACCCTAATTGTTTGGTGGATCTTTTCCATCGTCGGCATATCAACCTACTTTTGAGATCCTCTTGTAAAGTCGTGGTGCGTCGATGTAATCTTACCTCTTTGTCTAATTACCTCATTTTTGTCTTACGTAGTTTTTTCTCATTCTGCGTCATAACCAAATCAAAGTGCAGGACCACCTCTCTCAAAGACAACAGAACCAATCAATTTCATTGAACATAGCTCGATACAGAAAAGCAGTGACCGGTGCATTGTGGGTGCATACGGCACATGGTCGTATCTTACCTATCGTCCCTTATAACTGCTGTTGTTAACACGAGAACGGGGTATGCCATTATCGGTTTACCTTGCTAGGGATTTTATCGGTACCTTAGTTCTCTTAAATTCCTCATTAAATCCATTGTTCTATTGCTGGAAGATCAGAGAAGTAAGGCAATCTGAGAAACATACCATGAGAGAACTTTTCTGTTTACCCGGGTGTCCATAGACATTGGTTACATTCATTGAATATTTAGAAGTATTCAGAACTAAATACGATTTAATAAATAACAGTCGAGCCGCTACACGCGCAATTCATAAAAAGGAATATAATATGGGTGCATGATTTATATATTGTATAAACGCCCGTGAAATACCAGATGGGTTTTCGAGCGAAAGCATGACACCTTCCGTCACACATTATTTGATGGCTGCTTGGAGATGCGAAATTTCTCCTCTCATGTTGAATAATGCTCGAACGAGGGAAATATTTTTCAACACTTGAAAAGATATTTTGTATCTTGGAGCGGTCATGTATAAAGTATCCTCTAGGTGTTAGCTGCAAAGGTTGGGTTAAGTTTCATCAGCATCCCAACACGGATGTGGAGAATTGCGAATTTACCTTTATTGCCAATACCATGGGTGACAAATTACCTCTAATTTTGCAGCGAGATTTCAACGATACATGTATTTTATCATTTTACACATGTGAAATTATAAAAATTGCCACAACAAAGTTTCCTCAACGCCAACATGGCGTCCAGGTTTCAAGATGCTACCGTTAAAGATGTCAGTTTCATGGTACATGTATCATGAACGCGGAAGAGTCATTCATCTGCAACAACTGGCAAAGAAATGAGATCTTTAGCTCGTTCCCTTTGGTGTCGCTCTAACATAGCTGCTCGTCTTTGTTGCCAGCTTTGCTGAAAATTTTGGAGTTCTTCATCTATTCTCATAACCTCCATACTTTGTCTTGAGAGGAGTTGTTCTGCGGGATCAGGACCAAACGATAATCTCGGGGTCGGTTTGGTTTCCAAATCCTCCAAAGCAATGTTGGCCGATCCTGACCTGACCCCTGTAATAACAAATGATTTTTCTCATTACCTATTTGTTATCGATCCCAATGTTTTCTGTAATACGAGATATGATTTAAGGGGCATAAAGCAGTGACGTGTCTCTTAGTCTTAGTTTTTACTCTAAAAGTATTTTAAAAAAGACGGAGATGATATATATGTTGATAATAATTAAGAAAAAAAAACAATACTTTGTCGAGATAGGATTTTTTTCGGCTCAAGAGTTCAGCGCGCTTTATCAAATCATGTAGGAAAATATTCTGGGAGCAAAAATGCGTTAGGCAATAGATCATTTCCTCTACACTAATGTTAATACTTTTCTGGTTCTGTGTTATCATTTGCTTACGTACATATAGTTTAATTTTAATCATCATGTAATTGGGACACAAAAATTTATCATCTTGCGCTCTCTATGGAGCGTGACCCGCATCTATGCAAATTTATCGAAACAAAAGAAAAAGTTTACATTACCAGGAAATCAATTTTCTTGCATTAAAAGAGTTAATAGACCTTTTTAGCTGGTATGTTATTTTGTTTTACCATTTCACCAGACCTTGTGATGTTTCTCCAGAGAACTGTTTCATTTAAATGTTCTTCTATCTAGCTGTGCACGTGCATTATATGAATGCATAATTTATGAGATTCGTTTGAAGACATCGCGTGGTCTTCAATGGGAAAACCAAAAGCTCTATTTTCATTAGCCCTGTTAATCATTTTTATCTGAAGAAAAGTTGTCGCAGGAAATAGGGGACCACGCCCTCCCATCCAAGTCAAAACGAGAGTTTTAGCATATGAGAATAAAGTTGACCGCTTTGCCCAAATCAACAGTACTCGCGCCTGCTCTGATCGTGTCGCCTTAACCCGGCGAGTTGGAGCGGCAGGGCTATCCAAATTGTTTAAAATGGAGAAACATTGGTTTGGGTAGGAGAGTTACCTTACCATCGAAAAATAGTGATCCGGCTAGGCGGGTTAACCTTCGAGCCAAATTTTTGTTTCTCTTGTAAACGGTTTCCGACGTTTTGTAAGAAAATGTAGGTGAAAAGTTGGCTGGCCTAGGTTGCTAGCAGGGTAGGTGGGTGGGTGGCTCTTTAGTACCCAGGATAACTCTGATAACTTTTCCCCTTGTAAACGGGGCCTAAAACAATCCGCTTATAAATGTAAATTGCCACTGTTCAATGCTTGAACAATTGCCAGTAAAGTTTGTAAGTCAATGTAGGTTAACAGGTGTCTTACAAGATGTAAAGGTGGAATTTTACCAAATGGGTTGTATCAGGAGCCCATCAAATTTGATGGACTCCTGGTTGTATCTATTGCTCTTGGCACAAAGTTTGAGTGTAGTATGTTAAGTATTATTGTCTCTCCTTTTTTAGAAGTTGGGATTGAAGAATTTTGCAATATAACTAATCAAACTATTTCTAAGTAACATTGTCATCTTATGCATGATCATATCCTCACCACGTTACAAAACTAAGGAGCGTAAAGAAATATGCATGAGCTCTTTAAATGCGGATTCATTTTTAGCAGCCTCAGCTAAGTGCCGCATCAGTTTTAAGTATTTCATTTAGCAGGGTAATCTCACACCTTCCTGATTCTCTTCAATTTGTTTTTTCTTGTTGGTTTTCCTGTACATCTCCCATGCAAGTCCTACAGCAATCAGTACCACAAATAATGACAAACCACTGTACACAGTGATGCTGAATATTCCTCCACTTCCGAAGTAGTCCTCTGCAACACTTATCTTTGTCTGTTAAATCATGAATGTAAAAAAAACCTACTTAAACCTCGTATTTTTTCCAGCTAGTTTTAAGTAATTAGCTAGTAATTATAAGAAAAGAATGCGTAGGCAAGTACAACTATCTAATCATAGAAAATATTTTAAAAAATAAAAATGAGTGCAGACAAGCGCGGAATAACCTCGTTTGTTTAACAGCGCGAGCTCTCATTGGTTACTTCGAGGTCTCATCCCATCTAACAAAATCTCTGAGCAGGCAGTGTTGCGAAATATGACGTCAGAGGGTAACAGTTCACTGTTACTCGCGTATGGCTACCGCTTGCCAGATTTATTTTCATAAATTTGTACACAGTCAATAATTAAAACGTTTTCTTCGTGGGCTAGGTAACAAATCGCTTAAAGACTGGTTCCTCGGGAAACAGTTCATTTTGTTTTCCTCGGATCTCGATGTTGAGATTGAGATTGAGATTCTCGCGAAACAAAGTAAACTTTTTCCCTCGGGATCTGAGTTATTAAGCATTTATTAACGAGCAAGAACGAGCATAACCTGACCTCTAAAGAAATTGGTATTAGAAATTGGTATTATTAGAAGAAGCAGGAAAAACTACCCCGAAAAAGGCAAGGTTATAGTGTTCAGATTGAGAAATGAACCCACACAAATGAAATCTATTGTTCTAGAAGCAGCTGTTTTCATTAACGGCTTATCTAGGCGAGTCGGTGTCAAACTGGCTCTTGCTTAATTATATTGTATACGATAACTTTCAATTCAGCCGAAATTTCAAGTCCTCTTTAAGGCTTTCTATCAGGAAGGTAGGGGAGGATATCTTTTCAATAAATGAGTTTCAGAATGAGCTGCTATATAGTTCAACTACAATATAATTTTTAATTTCTCCTTTTCCTGAACGACTTTGTGAAGTTTAAGTTTCAAAATTTTTCCCTGACTTACTTTTTCTTAACTCCACGTTAACTATTTGTAAGTAAGGTTTCAACACCAACCAACACTAGGAAAGGCAGCGGGGAGGGGCTGCTATGAAACGGGGAGCGGAAAGCGGGGAGCGGGGAGCGGGAAACGAGAAGGGGGGTGGGGGGTGGGAAAAATGAAAAAAGGAAACAACACCTAACTTGAATCCTAGCTCTATCATCAACTTTACAGTTATGTATTTCCATTTCTCTGCATTTTTTTTCACTTTTCACTTTCCCGTTCCCCTCTTTAGAAACATCAAAACTCAGTGTTTGGTTTAGTTTTCCCACTTAAATTTCCCATCTTTGCATACCAGTTAAAGAAATTGCTTACCTGAGTAGTTCCTGTGTTCTCTGCCAGAACATGAAACAGCCACTGCTCTTCATTTTCTATGAATTCCCTGACGCATTGTAGGAAGTGGGTGGAGTTAGGTGCGACGATTGCGCCATATGTCACTTTGCTGCTGAGAATATTACCAACCTGTCGACAAACATTAATTTAGTGACTCACAAAGTAACTTATGAAAACGCTGCGAAGTTCATGTTTTTGATGTGTGATAACATCAATGTAAGGCAAGTGCTGAAGAAGCGAACGTATTTACTCAAAAGAGAACCTCGCTAGCACTAAAGAGCAAAACTTTATTTTAATAAGCGCAGAGTGATCATTATCATTAATTTTTGACATAAGAGATCAGTGGAAGGGGAAATAGCACATTGTTGAACAGATAGTCAGTTGGAATAATAAGTTTATTAAGTCTGATAAGAAATCAATGTAAATGCAGCATTGGCGTTACGCAGGAATTCTCAAAATTCAGGACATCTTTGATACACAGCAAAACTTCTTTCCGTCCTTCGACTCTTTTCGTAATAAATTTAACGTAAGAAGTAATTTTTTTCACAACACTTTAGCCTTTTAGTAACGCCATCCCTCAAAGTTGGAAAAAACTCCTTAATTTGCTCCCTCGAACAAAGCTCAATACTGCAAATATTAATAGAGGAAACGACTTGCAAAGTTTTTATACTAGTGCTGTCTCTTCGATCAAAGCCTCCGCCGACTTGTGAGAAAAGGCTCTTAAATTTTGGCTACCAGAAGGATGATTTGAGAAAATTATATCCATTGCCTTTTGAAATAACAAAAGAAGTAAAGCTGTTAATGTTTCAGTACAAAATTATTCACAATATTCTGTGCACTAAGAGCTTATTATTTAAAATGAAGAAAGAAGTCTCCCCACGCTGCCCTTTTTGTCCAGCAGATCATACCATCGTACATCCTTTCACTGAGTCCGCGCAAGCCACTTTCTTCTGGAAAGAGTTCTGGATTGGGCCTCGCGCATGGTGAACTCAAAATTATCGCTTTCAATAAAAGAAAGTATGTTTGGTATTATTAATAACGATTCTAAGTTCTGTTCAGCCCTCAATCATTTTGTCATTATAGGAAAAGATTTTTTTACGTAAAAGCTCTTAGCGGTAAATTTTACATCTTTAATGAATTTGTTTCCCTAGCTCGTGATAAAATTAGTCTAGAAAAATATATTTCTTGTACGACTGGTCGCGAAAAAGAGTTGAGAAAAAAATGGTCTGTTTTTTGGTCTCTTCTAAATACGGTATGAAATGCTGTTTACTATAACTGATTGCGCATCCATTTAATTTTAGCAATGTTTTTATTGTGTTAGCTTAATGAAAATGACGAAATGATCGTCGCGGTGAACGCAATTTATGCAATTGCGTAAAGAAGCCTGAAAGCCTGAAAGTTTGCACCCGTAACCTCGCGATTAGCGGTGCGATGCTCTACCAACTGAGCTATTAAGCCACTGACGTTAAGTCAACACTTATTTCCATCCGACGTTTACAGATTAATGATTCGTACACAAAGTAAGGGTTAGGGTTACGGTTGTTGCTATATATATTCAAACCAAACCATCCATTGTCAGTAAATCTTCGGTGGTGTAGGGGTTAAAGTGATGCAGTGGAGGGCCGCGATGCTCCGAGATCGAATCCTACTCGTGCCATCCTGAATTTTTTTTCCCTTGAAAATTGAACAGACTTTTATGAACAGAAATTTCAAGGGACAGAAAGTTCATGTAAGAAAAGTGAAATGTCTTGTGAGAGCCACTGAGAGGAAAATGTCAATTTGGTTTGGATGGAAACAAGTGACGACCGCTCCGGTCCGTTAGGAGCAGGCCAATTGAGGGTTCATATTTTCCCGTGAAAGAAATGAGTGTTAATGATGTATGAAATAAATCATATATGGACTGCGGAAATGAAATGAAATGAAGAAATGATCGTCGCAGTGAATGCAATTTATGCAATTGCGTAAAGAAGCCTAAAAAAATACTTTTTTTTCAGCTTTAAGTTGTAGTTATCGTTTTGTTGCAGATTGTTATTTGTGAATGTCAGCTGTACGTGTGCATGTTCAATAACGTTGTATTGGAAAAAAAAAGGAAGGGGAAATAGAGGCTAGAAAAGATATTACCTTGTGATACCCACATGAGGAAATATTTATAAGTGGTGAAGAAGAAGGAAATGCGAAACGACCCGGAAAAACAAGGCTTAGAGAGTGGAAAACATTCAACCGTGTAGCTACGTTTTTGTTGGGGTGAGACAAACTCGAAAACAAAATATTGCCTGCTTGGTTTTACCTATGAGAAAATGAAACTGCCTCATGACTTAGTTACATCTTTGGTTTTAATGGTCTCGCTAGGAGTTAGGTTGTATCTCTCTAATATTTTGTTTACCTGTATGTTATGCTGTGTGAGTGAGACGATGTGATGCTTAAGTCCGTGCACGTCCACTAAAGCGCCTTCAACTTTGTGGTCAAGTACATAAGTGAATACTTCCTCACTGTTGGCTAGAGCTGAGGAGAAAAGCAAAAAACAGAGAGAAAAAAGGAAATTCTCCATAGCATAGGGCTTTTTCAAAATCCTTATGAAACGCCACATTTGCCCAACGTAGTAGTTTAGCAGCATTCGTTCGATTATTGGCCACAGTTAAGAGAATAAAGATAAACTCAAACTCAAATTATGCCATTTTGGTCATCTTAAAACGTATTTGGAAGGCTATCTTAACTTATAAAATGTTTAAAAGGGTAAGGGGCGTAACCTCGGGGAGGAGGAGTCCCAGGCAAAGTTATTAAAAATCTTTTAAAAAAAGTCATAAAATAAAGGATGTTTTCATTTATACTTTTCAATTATTTGGGGCCATTTGTTCCCATTAAAACAGAATTTTCAGTTTTATTACTTAAGAAAGACAAATAAACAAATGTATGACGTTTGATGCCATCTAGTAAATCACTCTTTTTGAGCTGCCCTTCGACAAAACAAAACTGTAGCATAACGTACGATTAATTAGCGGACCTTTAACGTTAGCAAGCTCACGAATGCCGAGCTTGTGTTCTTCGCTATGATTGACTGCTGAAACCTATTAAATAGAAAAAGAAAGAGCAGGGCAATTAAGATAAGCACGACTGTCGTGTAAGCGGTCCGTTACGTCCTGTTATTAGAGATGTATGTTCCCAGAAATATCATATTCATCAACTGCATTAGAAATATTTTCACTCAGTTTGGTTAACTAGATAACACAGCTTTTTTGATCACCCGTTGGCTCATTTCATTTACTCTTCGAGGGAAAAAATGGCCTATACCGTAACATGAAAATAAAAAACGAAAAGCAAACAAAACAAAGACAAAAACAAAAACAATGTTATAGTTAAAGGGCCTGCTGTTAGTTTTAAAAATCAGCGCAACGACCTACAGATTGTATGATTTCAGCAATGAAGTAATGAGTTAAATAAAGCCCCCTAATGTGAGTCTGACCACACCCAGGGGACTGCGTCCACTACTCTTTAAGAACAGTGTGTGGTTCTTTAACGTCCCACAGAATTTATGATTCGTGCAAGCTTAAGGGTTGTAAGACGGGAAGCTTATTCGAGAAAACTACAAAGTTTCACCGTTTGCAGATGTCATTACAAAGGCAGAACTTTCCCTTCACCTATTTTATAGACCCTTAGTGTTAGTCAGTCCGGGATTTGAACTATCAGCGGCAGACTGCTGGGTTGGTTATCCAACTGTCCTAACCGGGCAACTCACTATGTAGCAAACGGGAATACTTTTACTACAAAAATCACTTTTTTACCGTGACATCTCGCAAGTTGGTTCTTCCTTCCAAACTGACTGAAGTCAGTGAGGTGGTGATGATACTGATAAACATGGTTGTAATAATAAGTCCGCCCATCATCCACACGACTCCCAGAAGTTTTCCGGGAATTGTTTTTGGGGCTTTGTCCCCATACCTGAAAAAAAAATACATTTTAAGCCTCAGAAGTGATTTTGATTGTCAAGTGCAAGTTGGCCAATCAGAAGGCAGAATTCTGGTAAGTGCATAAGTTGGTTCTACTATTGGCTTCCACGGACCTTTGCGTTGGTATTTACATAGAAGCCCTTTTAACAATACACTACAAAAAAGGAATGATCTTTTGATTCATCCTGTTTTTACGGGTACTGCTAGTCGAAAAATGTATGCTATCCTGATTCAGACTGACTTGGGAGTTACGTCGAAAACCGTCACTTTTAAGCCAGTTCTTATGGTTGTGTTCTGCCTTTGGATTCTTACTGTTACCTGCGGCCGTCAGGATTCATTAAATTTTCATAAAGTGCTGGTATTTGTTACACCGCAACAGTTATTTCAACTTGTTGCCTTCTTGTACCAACATGCTACTACTAAATATCTCCGACAGCATTTTCAGTAATTATCATGTAAACAATAAATCGCGTATTCCAGTGACACATGCACAAAATACAAGCGTCCCTTTATTGTTTGTAAACGAATTGAATCTTATTGTACTCACTATGTTGGATACAGGTTAAGCCGTTCGTTACAAGCGATCATACACCAGTTTTTCTGTCCGCTTTCTTACGCTTGCAGAGGCCGTCTAAAGGTCTATGTAAGTCGAACATAATTAAAAAAGTTTGGAGCCTCCTACACCTGTTAAAAAGACGTTGCGAGTCATTTTTATCATCGGTTTTACTCGGCCTCTCCCAGAAATTATTACTTATTGCGCACGCGCTTACCCCACCGTAGTCATGGTGATAAACGCCCACCAAAATCCTTCAAACACACCACGGGAAAATGCTAAAGGAAACTGATCTGAGTTCTGTTGTCTCTCCTGTAGGGTAAACAACACAATTTATAGATGACATTAAATATAGAGGGTGAAGTGTGTTATCATTACGCACAGTATGGACGGAACGGAACGACTGAAGGGCAACTCTAAAGTATCCAATAGATCGTTTTCTTATAACGTCGGTGATATTGGTGTTCCAAAACAATGAAACGGCCGCCACATATACCAAACAACGCCGCGTGTCAGGATTGAACTCTTTTCTTATTTTATTTTTTATTTATTTTTTATTTCTTATTAAATTTCTCGTTTCACCGTGAAATTTTGCTTTTATCAAATCCGGCTACACTTACGTCATAACTTTTTTTTATTGTTCTAAGAAACTTGCACGGATTTTGACTGATTATAACTGCAAATACGTGATCTCAGAAGAAAAAATTGTTTTACCCTCCCCAAGCCTACCTCGAAATTTCTAATAAAATCAGTCAGGTATAGTGTGACTAAACTATGGAATGACCTGCCCAATGAGGTCAGGGCAAAGTAAAGCTTAGCCGCCTTCAAGGAGGGGCTTAAAAAAAGGTGATAACCCAAAATAGCAAATAGAAATGAAACAAGTGAAACATTGTAAAAAAGAAACTGTAGATAGACACCTGTAAATAGTAAAATGCAAATAATTTCGTGCAAATTCAGCCGGGTAAATGTTTTGGTATCTTTTCGTTACTACTTTTTATTCAGTTTGAGTTATATTATACATAAACACGTCAGCTAAGATGTAATCGTGTTTGAATAACACTCCATAATTGCTATAAATAGATTGAAACGTGACTGCTCAGCCGAGTTTGAGAATCATTAATAGTATGAATTCTACCTACCATTAACCAAATTAAAACCCCTGCAATAGATGCTGTAATAAGAATGAAGACGAGTAACGGCCATGCCTGAAGCACAGACAGTAACAACTGCGTCCCGGAAACATTCCCCCGAATCAACACTGCAATCCCTGGAGACTCCAGAATCCCGGCGAAGGGGTATAGACGAACGGTCGATGCTCCCACTTGCGTCCCCACGGGTATTATGACATCAAAATGATATGTCGTTAATACCCTATCTAAGTGTGATGGCCCCTCGGGGATTTTTGTGTAATTGAGGGTTGCGTTGCTATGACAACAGCGTTTAAGCATAATGCTTAAAATGTGTGGAAACATTCCTGATAAATCCGGTTCCTCATCTGCTTGTCGATGTTTGCGTGAGTGTTTCTCTGAAGAGTAAATATACGGCTCTTGACTCCACCAAAACACAGTCAGTGGCTGTCCATTAGCACACTTGTGGTCGACATCGACTGAGTTTCCCAAACGAGTATTGTATACAAAAAAAAGCACTGTCATGAAACACAGCTTCGTTTCTCTCACCATAATCATGGCCCTACGTATCCAGTCATTGTTGTTTTCTTTGACAAATCCTTTTAAACTTTCCAATGTTTCCGTTTAGCCTCGCAAGGATTGTTTAAGGGCCTTTAGATTGTTTGCTGCGTCTTAAAGCTGGTCTGATCGCTATAGATCAAAGGGCCGTTATCACGTTAGTCGAGTCTTACAATTCCCTTGTCGGAAACTCAAAGCCACAACGCGTAAAGGAAAAAAATGCCTAGATTCACCTTCAGTTACAACACGAAACTTCCGTCAGAGTCGATAGAACTTGGAACTTTTACATAATTGATGGCAATGCATACGAGGAGATGTATATTGTTAGAATAATTAGCATGAGGTGATTATCATTACTTTTTTATAGCTTGTTATCAAACATGACGCAAGATAACTATAGAGGTTTTGTTTCATCTGGCTTTATCACCAATTAATTATTTTACCCTTCATTTTTGTCTGTTTTCTTTCCCTCCATTTTTGATACTTCAATCATTAATACTCTTTTTGTACTTCTTATGCATTTGTGCCACTGTTAAGACTTTAAATATAACTTCCGCCTATACATTCTGTGCTTTAAACTTTGTATAAATTGTACATTTTTTAGTATTTTAAAGTAAAATTGTAAATAGCTACGGTTTCAATGAATACTTAATACTTTTACTGTGTGAATGGTCTATAATATTTCGAGGAACTACTTAAATTAAGGTGTTTTGATACAGTTTTTCACTGGCCATACCGATCTTTTTCAATTGCCTTAAAAGTGATTTTTTCTTTGTCCGATCGCCATAAAATTTTCACCAGTAATTGGCTATGGATTGAAATTTGTGAAAGTGTAGTTTTAAATAAAATCGATATTACTATGACAACAATAAAGAAAAAAGCTTTGAAATTAATAAAAGCCGAATTTTGTGTGATCTAGACCAGCTACTGAAAATCCAACACTAGGAACTTAATTAAACTTTGGTGTTTAGCAAACAATCTCCGTTAGAAGTAAAAAATTCTGTATGTTTGAATTCGACTAAAACGAAAAAATATTTCAAACCTTAAATTTTCAATAGCAGTGATAGATTAATTTAATAAAAACGTTGTAAATGACTCAAATTATTCTTAAGTAGGTCAGAATGCTGCTTAGTATCATGTTTCGATGCTATGAAATTTTGGTGCATTTTCGTTCTTGCGATCTTGAAAACTAACCCGTTTTCTCACCACTTGTCTAAGTGCAACTTCATTCAAAATTTGGACTTTTAGCGCTTTTTTGTATATCTCTGAAACCACTTGAACGAATTGAACTCTTCACAAAATCTTTATAATGCGTATAATAAGGTCTGAAACTTTCATTGAGATTGATTCACTGCATCATCGTAAAATTTTAAGACAAACCTGTCCCACGAACCTGTCAAAAATCTGCGCTACAACATTCACTGTTTTGACGTTATGCTAATTTTTCCAAAATAATGCGCTCTATACATGTACATACCTCCATAACTAGTACATTTTAGTTTGAATTTATCGCAGCTTTTATATGTAAAACATTGACAATACTCACACTTTGAAGAAAACGACCACCCCGACTCTTGCAGGCGACCGCGACCACTTTTGGGATGAAGGTTTAATTTTCCATTGTTTTAAATCTCTTGGGAGCGACCACTTGACGCTGTACGTACTACGCCACTCAAAGTATACGAACAACTTTCCGTGACATCGTGAAACTCAAAACTTAGAATTGCATGCAATAGTACTCCCTTCCAAAAAATAGATTTGTCGGAACTTCTTTTTCGAAGATACTGCCTCCCGTGGGGGCGCCTCTGAATATGAAAGGGGTGAGGATGCTCGTCGGAAATTTTGAATTAAATCCCTAAAGGAGACCAATCTGGGTGTGGCTAAAGCTTTTTTGACCCCTAAAAGAGACCATGTTAAAACACAGACAGTATAAATACATTTTTATATTTTTTCGCGTGCAACCGTAAACGAGACGTTCACGGCTAAATATGATGGCGTTTTCCCCAGAACACCCTACGTGAGACCAAAATCCGAAATTTACACCGCTTAGCGAGACAACAAGCATCCCCATCCCTTTCATATGCGGAGTCCCCCTCTGGGACTGCTTATTCGTCGCTGAACTCGCTTATGGCGAGGTCGAATGAAGTAGAGAGAATTCGTATCAATTTTCATCTTGTTTGACCATCTGCTCTGTTTCATTAAGCAATGATATTAGAAGAAGAAATTTAATGTAATCAAGTTGTTGTTGTAATTCCTCCTTCGAAAGTCGAAGGTGACCATGACCTCAGACTGAAGACTAGCGGTGGTGGGTCCAAAGATAGCTAGTGAGGCCAATCCGAACCCGAAAGGCTAACCCACGCATGGGACATATGAGGGTGCGGGAGCTGCAAGTGGAGGTTGCTCTGGCTTTGTACGCAGCAAGTTTTCTGCCTCACGGACCCCAGTAATGACTTTGCTACGCCAAGTTGGACGGTCCTGGGTAAGCGACTCCCAAGTACCGGAATTGATGTCCAGGCTTTTGTGGTGTGGAAGTCTTCAAGACAATCTTTGAAATGCTTATTCTGCCGTCAACCAACCGAACGCTTGCCCTGCTGACAGAGTTCTCTATACAGAAGCTGCTTCTGACGGTCAGATGTCAGGCATTCTGGGGACATGTAGGGGGGTGTGAACGCTGGGGATGCCGGCCCTTTCTATGACCTTCGTTTCAGGAATTTTGTCCTGCTACCATCTGATATGGAGAAGTCTGCAGAGGAATTTCAGGTAGAACTATGACTGAGCTGCTTTTCGTGTCTCTCTGGACAATCCAGTACTTGCAGGCGTAGAGAAGAGTAGTGAATATCACTGCACGGTAGACCTTCAGCTTCGTGAGGCTGATTCCGTACCAGACATTCACGCAGTGTTCCGAAGGCGACGCTGGCCTTAGCAATCCTAGTGGCTCTAAAAAAAAGTTCGTCATAGCTAAATGCGCCTGTATTAATGACGGAGCCACCTTAATTAATTCAAGAGCATTTAGCTGTGACAAATTTTCCGTCATAACGTTTTCGATTTTAACGCAATGGCTGCGAAACTTTGCAAAAAACAACAGATATCATTCGGCAATAATACGAAATATTCCGATTTCAATGATAGTAAATATTTCTTGAGAAATTAGCGCCTAAAAGGACCTTACTGTTGAAAGAAAATCGCCGCTAGTAAAAAATTTTGCTGATATTTTTCCCTGAAATTTCTGGTATCGGCTTTAATTGATATAATAAATATGCCAGAGGAATTTCAGAAAAATCGTTGGAGCAGAAGTCCGTAACTAAAAGTAGCTCAAATTCAGCTGTGAAATTGTTTGGGAATTTCAAAAATAAATTACTATCAGGAAGAAGGAGACACCAGTTTCAATTTTTGGGACAAGTAAATTCAGTGTTTCCTATGAAAACAGAATCCGATTGCCTATCGTGCTATTCTTTAAAAGGTACTTTTCAGTTTTAGAAGCACTATAAATTGCTCCAAACTTTGCTCTGACGTAGAATGACTTGTTCCTCAACATGTTTAAAATATCCCTTGGCAGTTTTGGTTCAAACTCCTGCTACATACATTTTGATGTATCGCAATGCATCCTCAACGGCTTTTCCTGCTGTACGTTGTTTCCAATTTAGGAAAAAGGTATTGGGATTGTAAGCTACCTTGTATCGAAGCTCAGATAGAACTGTTCAGCCCCTTTGTTTATGACCAGAAAATGAGCACGAGCGGCAGCTCTGCGAGGAATTCGCACCTCAGCCAGGGGGGACGAGTGACAATGATGTCCATGTCTGTGAACCGACCTGTATAAACATGTATTGCAGAGCAAAACATAATAATCAAGAAAAAAAATACCCATTCATTGAAGGAAGGAGTGACAGAAATTTCAGAGTTGTAAATCTATTCACGGGCAGTATTTTTGCGATAATTTTATTTTGCACCTTCATGTTATTCGGTTCACAGGCATGGTCACCATTGTCGTTCGTCCCCCTGGGTGAGGTGCGAATTCCTCGCAGAACTTGGCTCGTGCACATTTTGTAGTCATAAACAAAGGTGCTGGACAGTTCTTTCTGAGCTCTGATACGAGGTAGCGTCCAATCTCAATACTTTTTTCCTGAGTTGGAAGCAACGAACAGCAGTAAAAGTCGTTGAAAATGCATTGCAATACATCAAAATGTATGCAGCAGGAGTTTGAGCCAAAACTGCCAAGGGATATTTTAAAACTGTCGAAGAACAAGTCATTCTACTTCAGTCAAGGTTTGGAGCAATTTATAGTGCTTCTAAAACTAAAAAGTACCTTTTAAAGAATAGCACGATAGGCAATCGGCTTTTGTTTTAATAATTAGCAAACGTTGAATTTACCTGTCCCGAAAATTCAAACTGGTGGCTCCTTCCTCCTGATAGTAATTTATTTTTGAAATTCCAAAACAATTTCACAGCTGAATTTTGAGCGACTTTTAGTTACGGACTTCTGCTCCAACGATTTTTCTGAAATTCCTCTGGCATATTTATTATATCAATTAAAGCCGATACCAGAAATTTCAGTAAAAAAATATCAGCAAATTTTTTACAAGAGGCGATTTTCTTTGAACAGTAAGGTCCTTTTAAGCGCTAATTTCTCAAGAAATATTTACCATCAATGAAATTGGAATATTTCGTATTAGTATATACACACTCAGTGATCTTGGTGATTTAAGCAATCTGATTGGTTCGCTATCTCGGACTATTCAACAATATTCACCTCCTAGCGAGTGGATAATGTGTGAGCTCGGTGTTTTTCCCGTTTTTTTTAGAGAACGATCTTTTAAAAGTCGACAAAATCCTAGGGCTGACTTTTTTTAAGGCAAGAAAAGACTTGGAAGGATTCAATACGGCGTTTTTCAATTTACTGTAGCAGGAGTTTTGTGCTCGATGGATTGTTTACAACTCCCGTGTATTGTCTGTATTCGCGTAGAAGAAGCCGTTTCGTGAACTCAGCGTTTTCTAAG